GATGTTTCTCTGACTTCTTTCTCAGCCCTTTTATCATTTGTGTATAGGAGGGCTACTGATTTTTTTGAGTTTGATCCCCCTTTCTATCTGGGTTTGAATTTAGCAGTCAAGTTCCTCATAGCCTCCATGAAAGTGCACCGTGCTGTGGGGTTCCGTGGTATCTCATGCTCAGTTTACACGATATTAAAAATTGTGTGTGTGTTCACATGTGTGTGGGGCATGTCTATGTACACAGATTCGTGTGTATGTGTTTATGTGTGTGTATGTGTGTGTGTTCACATGTGTGTGGGGCATGTCTGTGTACACAGATTCGTGTGTATGTGTGTGTGTGTGTGTGTGTGTGTATTTGCATGTGGATAGCCACAGTTGACCACAGTTGACACTGGGTGTCCTAGATCACTTTCCACCTTACTTATTCTTGTTGAAGCCATGGCTCACCAATCCCAGCTAACCTGGCTAGGCAGCTTACCTGTGGGGTCTCCTTTTCTACCTTCTGGGTGCTGAGATATGTGGCCGCCCAGCTTTTTATGTGTGCCATGGGGACCTGAATCAGACCTGAGCAGGAAGCGCTTTCTCCGCTAAGCCGTCTCCTCAGACTTCCAACGTGCTTCCAGGGAGCTGAGTCGATATTTGATGGGCATTCCACCACTTTTCTCTAGGCGGCATCTTTCTCCTGCTCCTCAACATGGAATGCTTCATGGATTAGCATGCCATCCTTGCGCAGAGCCCATGCTAATTCTCCCTGTATCACTCCAGCTTTAGTATATATGTACTAAGCACATCTTACTTCTTAACATTGTCTGGCAAGATTAAAAATCACATCTCATCTCTTAGTATCTCAGGTTTTGTTTAATAATTTTTAAACTGGGTTTTGTGTATCCAGTGCTAGCTGTGACTCACTGTGTAGCCTGAGATGACCTTGAACTTCTGAGTCTCTCTCCTTTCACCCGAGTGCTCTGGTTACAGATGTGTGCCGCCACGCTCAGTTGACGTGGTGCCGGGGACTGAACCCAGGGTTTTGTGTGGGCTAGGCAAGCACTACCAACCGAGCTACGTCTCCAGCTCTGGTTTTGTTTTTAAGCCGAGCACGAGATAACACGAAATGCCTCACTCAGCACAGCACAGCTTCCGGGAGGCTGGGAGGCACTTTGCTGCTCAGTCTGCCCCGAGCACCGGGTCAAGGGGACTCTGGGAAACACCTGTGTGATGGCCTCTACAGAATCCTTTCTGCTTCCTTTTGCTTCGCTGCTGATTGTTCTCTGAGCCTGAACTTGGCTAACATGTCATTTGATTGGGGGGAAAATCACGTCTCCTTTCTGAGTCTTGTCTCTCATTCATAAACGAGTCCACACTAGATACGCTCCCTGCTGCTCTGTCACTGGGTGCCACTACCCCTTGCTTGAGGAAATCTAGACATTTATGTCAGCCCTTTATATCCGATATATGCATGTATTTAAGCTATCAAAATCTGCTTTGTTCTTGGCTGAATGCCGTCTCCTCCTCATGCACTCGATTCTTAAGCTTACCATCCCTTAAATGCCGAATCTTCTTCCCCCCCCCTAAATTCTCTAATAAAGCTTATTATTCCAACCATTTATATTTAACATTAAAGTTTAATCGTGAAGTTACTCACCATAGAAAATTATTAAATAAGTGAGTTTGGAATGAACTAGAGCAGCTGAAAAACATGAGAGAGTATTTCAGAATGAGCTCAGAGAAGACATTTATGCATAGAAAACAATGGAGAATCACAATTAAGAGCTCGGGGGAGCTCAAGCTGATTTGTCCAGCCATTACATAGTCATTTCAATTTAAATTAAAATTGTAACTATTTTCTAGTCTACTAAAATATGAGGTGTCACATTAAGAGTTTTAATGGTGCGTTCTCTGGGGAATGCAGAAGCGGGAGACTGCAGCACATAAATAGTGATATGGTGCAGGGAGAATAAATTCTCTGCCCAAAATGAATATGATCAAAACAGAAATGACAGCGGATTATCTTATCCCCTCTAGTGAAGCGCGGCTCACACACGAGAGCACAGAGGCAGTTCACAGGGTGTCCAACTCCATCTCACTTTGTCAGAACTGATGGAAGGAACAGAAAACATTTGAATGGGTTGATAGACAGGCCCAAGTGAGGCCATGGATTTTGTTCCCAAAGTAAAGTATGTTTTTAACCACAGAAAGCGGATGGAGAGTAATGTTTGATATTTCTGATTAGAGAAACGAATCCGTCTAGGTTTTAACCGCTGTAGAACATGCTTCCGGCAATCTGGCTTCTAAAGGAGCGTGGAGGAGGGCGTCAAAAGCAGCCACGTGACTTGAAAAAGCAAGCAGACCTTGGTGTGCGTGTGCGCGTGTGCGTGTGCGTGTGCGTGTGCGTGTGCGTGTGTGTGTGTGTGTGTGTGTGTGTGTGTGTGTGCATGTGCATGCACACGCTCCTTGGAGTGGGTGGTCAGGCTGGCAGGAGGCCCATTGAGTGGGCACAGGCGATCTGGGACTTTATTGGATTAAGAGTGAGTTCAGACCAAAGAACATTTGGAAGCCTGGAGAAAGGAGGTAAAGTGACAACTAGGAATAAGAGATTTACTGGAACTAAATTTGGCTGAGCCTCCTGGTAGCCAGATGAAATGGAGATTAGAGGATCTTGTAATTATGATTTTCAGAAGGTTTTCATGCTCGTGAGTTCCTGGAGCAATGATCCTCAAATATGAGTGCACATATTACAGTGAACCGTGGGATAACACTGACAAAAGAGACCCACCCAGACATTCTGTAGCTCAGCCAAGTAGGTCAGGGCATGCACGTGCATGTTCTTAAAACATCTCTCATGTGGGCTGGCGTCCAGGCACACTTACCGTCAGTGGTTTATGAAAGACAAACTAACGTTCACTGTTCTGTAGAAGACCCAGAAATCATTTTTAATTTTTTTTTTTTTTTTTTTTTGTGTGTGTGTGTGTGTGTGTGTGTGTGTGTGTGTGTGTGTTGTGCACATGCATCCAGGTGCCAAGGAGGCCAGAAGCGCTGGATGCCCTGGGGCTGGAGTTTCAGATGTTTGCAGTTGCCCTGAGGGCTCTAGGAATCTGCCAAGCCCTCTGCAGGGGCAGCCAGTGATTTTAACCAATTTCCAAGATAAGGACATTCTTAGCAGAGCCAGTTATCATATTGATTATTTTTTTTTTCTTTTTGGGACAAGGTCTCAGTATAGAGCCCAGGTTGGCTCAAACTTGAAGCCTTCCTGCCCCAGCCTTACAAGTTCTGCTAACAGGCACACACTGCAGTACCCAGCTGAAACCATTCTTAATGTAGGAGGGGAACTGAGAAGTATTTCAGGGGAGACATTTCTAAAACAACTCGACTACAGACACCTCTATTTTCAGTAATCTGTCCTTGAAAAGTCACACAGTTCACACAGAAATACTGTCTAGGAGCCTGTTTTCTTTTGAACTTTAAAAAAAATTAGCCAGGTAGTAGCTAATCCTTTAATCCTTTAATCCTTTAATCCTCACACTCGGGAGACAGAGTCAGGCAGATCTCTGAGTTTGAGGCCAGCCTGGGCTACAGAGCAAGTTCCAGGACAGCCAGGACTACACAGAGAAACCCTGTCTTGAAAAAAATTTTTTTTGTTTTTTGTTTTCCAAGACAAGGTTTGGTGCCTCTCCTGGATCTCATTCTGTAGACCAGGCTGGCCTTGAACTCACCAAGATCTGCCTGGCTCTGCCTCCCGAGTGCTGGGATTAAAGGCTTGTGCCAACACTGCCTGGTGGAAAAAAAAATTTAAATGTATGTGCATAGGTGCCTGTGTGTCTTTCTGTGCACCATGTGTGTGCAGTGCCAGAGCAGGCCAGAAGAGGGTGTTGAATCTTCTGGAAATAGAGCCCCCATCTTAATATCTTAGTGTGTAGGTAAGTAAAGGCATTCCTTTACATTGCAGCTAATATTTTTTTTAAAGATTTATTTATTTATTAATGTATACAGTGTTTTGTCTGCCTGTATGCCTGCAGGCCAGAAGAGGGCACCAGATCTCATTACAGATGGTTGTGAGCCACCATGTGGTTGCTGGGAATTGAACTCAGGACCTCTGGAAGAGCAGTCAGTGCTCTTAACCTCTGAACCATCTCTCCAGCACCTTCAGCTAATATTTTAGGGAAATTTGTTGTAAGGTTTTGGGTTGACATATGATAAGTTGTATATTTATTCCATCTAGAAATATAGAAAATAGGCCAGACAAGGTGGTGCACACCTTTAATCCCAGAACTCAGGAAGAAGAGGCAGGCTGATCTACATAGTGACTTTTAGTCCAGCAAGGGTTGCATACTGAGAACTTGTCTCAAACGTATATAAATAAATAAGTAAATAGAAAATAGATCTGTAGACACGGCTCAGCAGGTCGAGTGCTTGCTGCGCTTGCAGAGGACCCAAGTTCAATTCCCATAACCCACCACAGGCAGCTCACACTACCTGTAACTCCAGCTCTGGGGGATCTGAGGCCTCAGGCCTCTGCAGATGCCAACATGTACACAGACAATAAAAAATAAAATAAATCTGTTGGTTGTTTTTCACTCTTTTGCTCTTTGGGGGGGCCCACCACCCAGCTCCCAAATAAATCACAAGGAGTCCTATTCTTTCTTATGAATGCCTGGCCTTATCTTGGCTTATTTCTAGCTAGCTTTTCTTTTTTTTTTTTTTTTTTTTTTTTTTTGGTTTTTCGAGACAGGGTTTCTCTGCATAGCTTTGCGCCTTTCCTGGAGCTCACTTGGTAGCCCAGGCTGGCCTCGAACTCACAGAGATTCGCCTGCCTCTGCCTCCTGAGTGCTGGGATTAAAGGCGTGCGCCACCACCGCCTGGCAAGCTTTTCTTAACTTAAATTAGCCAGCCTATCTTTTTGCCTCTGGGCTTTTATCTTTCTCTATTTCTGTATTTCTTTCTTTACTTCTTTCTCTGTGTCTTGCTGTGCAGCTGGGTGGCTGGCCCCTGCAGTCCTCCTCCTTATCCTGTTCCTCAGTCTCTCCCCAGATTTCTCCTCCTATTTATTCTCTCTGCCTGCCAGCCCTGCCTGTCCTTTCTCCTGCCTCGCTATTGGCCATTCAGCTCTTTATTAAACCATCAGGTGTTTTAGACAGGCAAAGTAACACAGCTTCACAGAGTTAAACAAACACAACATCAAAGAATGCAACACATCTTTGCATCATTAAATAAATGATGCAACAATGATAAACAACTGTAACACATCTTAAAATAATATTCTACAACATAAATCTTTTAAAAAATAATAGAAAACATGAGCTGGAGAGATGGCTCAGCTATTTAGTGCTCTTCCAGAGGACCGAGTTTGGCTCCGAGCACTCGTGTTGGGTGGCTTACAATCATCTGTAACTCCAGTTTCAGGGAATCCAACACCTCTGGCCTCTGATGGCATCTGCACTCTCCTGCACGTGTACACCACACACAGAGACGATTAAAAATGATAAAAAATCAAATATTTAAAAAAATGAACAATTAAGGAGATGTGAAATGACCCCATCCCTTCAGTCCTCGTGGACAGTCCTGGGATCCTTCTGGTGCCGGCCCCATCGGAGTAGCACGCTGGGTTCCCATGTACTCTTCAGAATTTGCATATGATTTAGACATTCAAGCAGCTGGAGTTGGGATTTAATGAAGACTTTTTTCATATGCTTTGTTCATAATGTCACAGTGAGTTTTTGAATTGATGTATGTACAAAATTTCCTTCATGATATTGGCTGAAATGATATATTAGAAGATGAACATTTTCTTTGAAAT